TTTTCTACTTGCATTTTTTACGTACTTTCAAACTGCTAGATTGGCAGAAGCTGGGACAAGTAATGGGAGCTCACTCTGTTACATGGCGCTAAGGATTCGAACTGCCGACCTTTCTGATTGACAAGCTCAGTGTCTTAGTCACTGAGCGACTGCGTCCCTTACAATCTACAAAGAGGTGCCCAACTGAGTCTTTCTCCCTTTACTAGTCAACAAACTCCCACATTTAATTACCATAGTTCCTTAACAGTTTTACCTATAGGTATTCTATGTTGTACAACTGCCATAGAGCCGGCCCATCATGTCCATGTCCCAATAGTCATAAATCAGGTCACCCACAGGATGAACCCAATTGCTAGAACAAGTTTTTCCAGAAAAAAAAATGTGTTGGCAAAAGTATTGTGCGATCAAAGGAGTGTGGAATACTGCAAACAACCTTAAATGTGACCTAGTTGCTCAATGCCCAAAGTATTGTTATGTGATGGCGGGGGGAGGAGGGGGGGGGCAACCCACAGAACTTTGAATCCTGGCGTAAGTACCTTCCAAATATATCCATCGTGTCTTTGAATGATGGCCAATTGTAAGTTGAGGTTGTCGGTATACAGGTAGTCCTCAACTTACAATCATTCATTTAATGATCATTCAATGTTACTGTCAGCATTCCAAGTAATGCACCCAGATAAAACAGAATTCCGAAACAGGCAAATTCCGCAAAGAACAATTTATTGGATAGATCATTGTTCTGACCCCCCTCTTCATATACCAAAGCACGCCGAGACAAAGATACTTCAAGGATTTATTAACACACAGACTATACCTTGGTAGCAATCCAGCCTGCCAAGATAGCCATGATAGCTTCTCCAGCTCTAGTAAATACGTTGATTTCTGCGACGAGCTTGTGGAAAGCCATTCCTTTTATAGTCTTGAGAGGAGCATAATTACCACCAGCTGAGTTCAATTATCTCCTGTAACTGCGTAACTGTTCTTTACGCCTATTAGCCCTCTGTTGCCGGGCATCCAGGACCAACTCCCTTGTCTCCTCCCCACTGCTGACCTCCGGATCACACTCCCTTGTCTCCTCCCCTCTGCTCCAAGGCTTGACTTCGGGAGCA